GGAGGAGGAGGAGGAGGAGGAGGAGGAGGATGCGGAGGAGGACGACGATGACCATGAGGAGGCGGAGGAGGAGGAGGAGGAGGAGGAGGAGGAGGAGGAGGACGAGGAGGAGGAGGAGGAGGATGGTAGCCAGCGGATCCTCTCCCCCCCGCGCTTCCAGACCGCTCGTTCTACAGCAGCAAGACTTTCCAGATCGTTCCTGGGGTGAAGACCTCTAAGGTCGACAGCGTCCCGCGCTCAGCGTCTGGATCGCGGGCCGGGCCGATAAGGCGGCGGCTCAGCCCCCTTCCAGATCTCTGTCGTCGTGACTCGTTCATACGGTTCGGTAGCACATCGTGGTAGCCTTGCACATCACGTCTTTGTAATTCCGGCTTCAGAGGGCTTCCGCGTCGACTAGCGTCTGGTCCCGTCTGGTAGCCGATGATATATTGCCGATTCAGCTAGCGTCGACCAGCGTCGATCAGCGTCGATTTGCGTCGACTCGCAAGGGCCATCGAGATGGTATAGGAGGCTTCCAGGAGCTGCCACATGACAAAGTGGACCTCATGAGGTCTCGACCGCTCGATCGCTCTTCTGGCGGTCGCGGGGCCCCGCAGAGTGCCCCAGGAGGCCGACGACCATCCAGAAGCACCCGTCGCGACGCGGAGACGCAGGGGTACCCCTCCTGCTGCGCCCCCCTAGGGGGCCACGTGCGAACCCTGCCCCTACCCCCCACGATCTATGAGGGGGAGGGTGGGGTTCACTTCGCTCGAGAGCTCCCGAGCGAAGTGACCCCCACCCTCCCCCTCAGAAAGCGTGGGGGGTAGGGGTAGGGTTCGCATGTGGCCCCCTGCACTCCGATCCGGCTCCGCGACTCGATGCAGCGCCGGCCTGCCCGTCGTCGGAAGACACATCGGCATACACTCGGCGTCACCCCAACATACCAGTAGTGTGTGTGTGTGTGTGTGTGTGTGTGTGTGCGTGCGTCGCCTCGCCCAGCGGCGACGTGCGCGCCGAGAAAGCTTGTAGTACATGCTTCGTGGCGGGCGCTTCCTGGCCGTACCGCTCGGGAAACGACACACTACAAGATGGTTATATTCTATATCCAGTCGGACGCACGCCTCCAAGGAAGACACAGAGGGCTAGTATGGCCTTCTGCGTACCATACTTCTGGAGGTTCCGCGTGGATCTCTGCGGTCGGCGCCGGATCTCCTGGCGGCGCCTCCGTCGCTGCCCTTTGCCGCGCTCCCCGCTCCAGGGAGGGGGTTCGGCCACGCGCGGAGGGAGGTAGGGAGAGGGGGGAAGGCTCCTTGGAGACACCCCTGTTTCTTAGAGGGCGCAGGGCTTGTCAATAGATGTAGGGCCAGCGCCGTCCAAGAACCAGAACCTCCTCCTAAGAAGCCTTCCTCCTCCTCGCTGCCCCTTTGCGTGCGCCGCCAATGAGGATCCAGCGCTGACCTAAGAAGTCCACGCTGCCCCTCGACGCGTCATTCCTGTGCCGCTTCTTCTTCCCCTCTCAGAGTCGCTCGATGTCCTTTCCTCGCCCCCTCTCTCGGCGGCCTTCAAGAATGCGGGGGTGGGGGGGCGACCTTCCAACAATGAGGAGGAGCTTGAAAGAGGGCATGGGTACCTCTTAAAAGCCCTCCTAGCTTCGAGGAAGCCTCCTTAGAAGCGCCTGGGCCCTTCTGAGAAGGCCCCCGCCTTCTGAGATCTTAGAAGGCCGCCCCCCTCCCTCCCTCCCTCCCTCCCTCCCTCCCTCCCTCCCTCCCTCCCCCCACCTCTTTGTGCGCGCCGTGAATTGAGCGGCGTAAAAATACGGGGTCGTCTTCACCAATCTGGCGTGTGAGCTGCCCTCTTAAGGTCGCGCCTCAGCGCCCTCGTTTCTGATGAGGCGTGTCGCGCTGACGGCCCGCGTAAGACACCGCGTAAGGTCGCTGTGATATACGTGGCGTCCCCACCCGCCGGGATGTCGGCGTCGGTCTTCGGTGTTCAATTTGGATCATTTCGTTCCTTGCATGTGTATGCGCCTCTTCAGCTAATTATCTTCGGTTCGCGCCCCGTTCGATGACCCGCTTCCTGACCTTCGCCTGGGAGCCGCCAACAAAAAAGTAAGGTCGCTGTGCCATCCCTCGCGAGACCCGTTCCTCTTCGTCGCTCCGCCGTCCCCTCCGCCCTCGCACTGGCCCCTATCGGCTTCCCCCCCTCCTCTCGTCTCGCTCCCGTCCCCTCTCGCCGCCCCCTCGCAGGTGGCAGAGATTTTTCCGGCTCCGGGCAGCCACCCAGACACGAGACATGTTCCCATCATGTAAAGATCATCGGGGGCGGAAAAGAGGGGGGTGATGACTAGGGGGGGTGGATATCATGGCAGGGGCCATGATATCTCCCCAGATTTCGTGGCGCCTCTTCTTGTTTCATTACGCCCCTGGCCCCCCCGCTGGGCCGCGCACATGCCGCCGGTCATGATTTGCACCCCCCCCTCTTGGACACCCCCCTCTTGGCCGCTCCCGACATCATGCAAAGATCTGGACGGGAGGTGTTTCTTAGTTTTCGGCCACTGGGGGCCCTCACCGGGCCCCAGGACCGTCAAGCATCGACTCAGGATGAAGCACCAATCACGGGGAAGGGGTCGGGGCTTCCCGGGGACTGCGTGTTGACAAGCATTTGGACGTCGCACGCCTGGGCACGGCAAGTGCCAGCTGGAGCCTGGACGCTTCGGCTAAGAAGGAACTGGCTGCAGTGGGCCAGTCCCCCGCACAAGCCGCGACCTCTCAGTCGCCACTCCCTTGGGAGACCTGGAGGGTGATCTGGCTGCTCAAAACAGCGTTTGTGGGCCAACAGGGCACGGGCAGCTCGAGCCTTTCCAAGACGGCTCAAGGCGGCCTAAACAGCTCAAGAGGGCCCCAATGCAGCCCACGAGGCCCCCAAACCGGCCCCATGCGCTGTTCAAGATGGCCCAGGAGGCCCCCAAGACAGCTCCAACACGGCCCCCCAAAAATCCCCAATACCCTATCTCCAGTATGCGTCCAAGAGGCTCCGAGACGGCCCAAAGGCGACTGGAGGTGGCCCGGAAGTTCTTCAATAATGCCCCGAGAAGCCAAAGTCATCTAACCTGAGGCCGTGCCGGTGCGACGCGGAGGGTTTTTTTTGGCCTTCGTTGCGCCGTGGTTGGGCCCCAGATGTGTGGCCCAGGGAGGGGGCGGCCTTCGATGCACTGTGGTTTGGCCCCGGTTGCGTGTGCTACGGAGCCAGGCACGGGCACTCGGGAGCGGAAAAGAGGGGGGTGATGACTAGGGGGGGTGTGGATATCATGGCGCGGGCCATGATATTTCCCCAGATCTCATGACGCCTCTTCTTATTTCATTACGTCCCTGGCCCCCCCGCTGGGCCGCGCACATGCCGCCGGTCATGATTTGCACCCCCCCCTCTTGGACGCCCCCCTCTTGGCCGCTCCCGAGGGCACCCTTCTCCTTTGTCTAGCTCCTTCTCCCGTTCTCGGGCGGATCAAGAGATTTGTAAGAAGCGTTGAAGGAGCCTCCAAGACCCCTCTGCACGTCGCCAGGACCTCCGAGCCACCTTGCCGCAGGTCCTGCTACCAACTCCACAGGATCTCCATAATCCCCCTTGCACTCCTCTCTGGCAACTTGCGATTCGCGTTCCTTAGGCGCGGCTAGATCCTCAGTGCGCGCGAAACGCGTGGCTGTAGTGTGTGTGTGTGCATAGCTATATGCATGTTTGTATCTATATTCATCGACATGTCCAGATGTATCTATGTATTGAAGACGCCTACGGAGAATCACCCCCACCCCCTGCCTTGTGGACTCGCCCAGCCGATCGTTGTGTCCAGAGCTCTGCCAAGCTATCCGACCATGAGTTCCCCCAGCCGCTGCGGAAACCCTTCGGGGAATACGCGGGGGAGAAAGAAGAGGCGGAGGAGAAGGAGGACAAATCGAGAGGAGGAGGAGGATGAGGATGAGGATGAGGATGAGGATGATGATTTATATCCTGAGGCCCACGAGGCAGAACAGAGCAAAACCTGCCTAGCCCGAGCGACGGGAGGCAGCTGCAGCTTCTTCCCGCGCGCGAACGCGGGCCGCCAGCGCCTCCATGCCAGGCGTTGACACGAGGCGCAGGCGGGAGGCCGTCGGTTCGCCACCTTGTGTGGCCGCGGCCCCGATAACAGCCTCGGCAGAGCGACGACAGGGGTCCGTGACACGATTCTCATTGTAAAAGTGAGGATGGAGCCCCAGCTTAACACGGTAGAGGGTCAGGGATCTCGTGCCCAGCTTCCCACAACACCGCCCAGTCAGCAAAACACACCTTTTCGACGAGTAGGCACCACACCTATAGCAAAACACTAATGGCTCCTGGGCCTCATTGTCAATCATCGCGCAAGCCAGAAGGTGTCCCCGTTCCTCGGCATCCTTAAGATTCCGAAAAGCTGTGGGGACCCCTTTACACCCTATCATCGATCTATCCTGATCCCAGGTGATCGTGAAACACCTTGTGCACCTCCACGCTACTCCCGAGTCAATCTCGCGCCAGTCGTGCCAACTCGGATCTCTGACAGCCGTCGTCCGAAGGCCTCTGGCCGCGCGACGAAACTCCATCTTGGGGTAGCAGGAGAGCACAGCATCAAACATTCGCACTAAATCTTTCACGCGCTTCACGCACACATCAAGAGCCTCGAGGTCTTCTGTCGGGGCCTCTGGGTGAAGTGTCAGTGCGTGCTTGGCTAACCTATCAGCATCAGCATTTCCCAGTGCAATGCGACGCTCCAAAATCGGTAGGGCCAAAATCACCTCCTCAGACCTGTGGGCAGGGGTGTAGGAGGCAGGGCCCAGGCAGCCCTGAGGGTCGTGTTCCATGGCGAGCCTCCTAAAGCCAGAAAACATCTGCTTTGGATTCAACTGTTCCCGACGACTAGCATTGTGCAACTTAACGGCGCCAGAGCAGTCGCTGTGAGGAGTGGCAGGATAATCAATGACGCAGCTAAGCGTTGCCATGCCGAGGTGCTCCGCCGACTGCGGAGTTTGGAAGAGGGTGGGCCAGACTGTGCCCATCATCCGTGCCTGAATCTTGTATTCAGGGCCAGGTGCTAGGAAAACAGCCCCAAAAGCCGCGCGTTGCAGCTCCTTATACACCTGCTGAGTTGCTGAGCCGTCGACAACGGGCTCGCACCCACGGGCCAGCTCAAGAAACTCTTCAAAAGTGATTTCCTGGCCCTCAGAATCCTGAAAAATCGGGTCGAG